AGGAAGGGAACGCACTGACCTGACTTGAGTCTCTTTTATGCCTTGCCTGTCTTCACTATCCAGATTCAATAGTTATCTTTGCTGGTTTAAATTACACGGGATTCGCCTTGCGTGTAATTTCTTCTCATATCCGACTTCGAAGAACCATATGTTTTGCACACCTTTGTGCTTTAGTGCGCTGAGGATTACTGCTTGCCTTTTTATTTAGCTTTTTATAGATGATTGATTGGATGATTGCTGATTTATTAATTTCTATTTATTGATTATTAGATTGACAACTTCACTTTTCCATTGTTACACACCAAAAAAACCAGCACAAAAATAATGATAGGACGCCGAACTGACACGTTTATAAATGTTCTATCCGCGCCAACAGAAACATTTAAAACCCCAATAAAACTAAAACTAACTTGAGCTTTGGACTCGAATAAAATAACTGCATTACATTGCCTTCGCATGAGTAAACAAAATACATTTTTGTAAAACAGATCTAGATACATTTAAATAATAACAAGTTTTGTATTTAACAATTATGACCGACCAAAACAAAGTCCTTAACAACGTCAAAAAGCCCTCTAAGATGCAACCTGGAACTTGACGGAAGAGTAATCGAGCAGAAAATAAAATTTAACTACCTTGGCGTGGAACTTTCCGGCTTTGGGGATATTGAGGCAGAGGTGAGAGATCAAACAGCAATAGCAATTAGAATAGCTGGCTGTCTAAATGCCATATGGTGCAATAAGAGTATGGGAACGGACACTAGATCTAGGATCTACAAAACCGCCGTGAGGAAGATGATGACATATACCGCAGAAACCACGCTAAAAACAGCGAAGACTCGTAGAGACAGCTGTGATAAAAATACTCCGTAGAATCACGGGAAATACACTGCTGGATAGAGAGAGAAGCGAGGATATCAGAACCGCCTGTAATATCAAGAAAATCATTGAATGCGTAGCAAACAGGAAGAAGGAATGGAATGAGCACATAAACAGGATGGGCCACTGCAGACTTGTGAGAATCGCTTACAAGTCCCCATTGGGACGAAGAGACGTTGGGCGCCCCAGGAAACGATGTAGCGATAGCTTCACGCAGGTGAACGATAATTTAACACGCGATTCGCCTAAAATCAAGAATGAAGAAGAAGAAGAATTGTTTAACAATGATCATTATAAATCTGCAGATCAATAAAAAAATCGTGTCATTCCTGCAGGGCCCAAATTCTGGGACTGGACCCAAAAATTGGGAAACCGCATTCAGCGAACAGCGAATAGCGTTCTCCCAGAAGTGGGCGACGTCCTATTGCAAAACGAATAAATGTATTTTCGCAAGCAATCTAGTGATCCCTGACAGTTTGTTCCCGTTATCTTAAAATATAGAATTCGTGCCCTGAGGTGTTGGCTAGTGGTATTCATGAAATAAAGATGCAGAAAAAGCAGATGAAAGAAAGTATTTGCCATTAAAATATAAAACATTCGTAAAAATATAATTTATAAATTAAGCAAAAATGTATATGATTCCAACTTTCAAAGGGCGTTTTTAACATAAATATTACGTAAATACCTGTATTTCAGTATACTTCATTGTACGTACTTTCCTGACTGCGTTTCAATTCCAAATTAAAATCAAATCCTGGGTTCTTCAGTCATTTATTGTCTATTTATCAATTAAAAAAACTTTTCGGTGTTTTCCACCATCATCAGTTTCAATGTGTAGCGTTGTTGCTACTTTACGCCTTGGCATGTATTTGGACTCCAAATACAATAAAGATTTGAATTTAAACATTTAGAAGGTTCAATTGACTTAACAGCTGAAGCCTACTTACCATTTCGTCGCCCATACCCCTAATGGTTGATTGAACAGACATGAGTTAATGGTGACTTCACAAAGCAAATCACCTTTTGTGACAAGGCACATGAAATGTATGACAATCTCCATAGTTGCTGTTGTAGTTTTTTAGTTCCCATGATGCTAATTGGCGAAACAAGTCTGTCCAAGTGTTAACGGCGATCGGTAAACTTATAACGGAAGGAAAAGCACTTTTTGTAACAACGTGGCTATTGTGTTGCGTGTTTGGGACAAGTGGCCGATTAACCGACACACATCTACCCGGATCCTTCATGAATGTCGAAAATCAGAAGGATGACAACAATGTTTTTCAAGGTAATCTGCTTAATTAACGTTTCATAATACCTGTTCCTTCGTAATTAATAAAAACTCCGGCAACCATGGATAAACATGAAGGAAAGAAAATAAAAGAGACAATAACATACGTTGAGGTTAGGATAACGGTGTCACGGTGTTGCGGTCAGTGCTGCGACAAAACAGCCCCCCGAGTGCTGTCATCTTTTTGGGGCAAATGAGTGATATACCTAAATAGGTTACAACTGTCATCTAAAACCAGCGGTTAAAGTTGATCAATAAAATACAATTCTGTTGTTAAAACACAAGTGTTGCCAAGAGCAAGAAGTCCTGTCCGTTTCACTCCAAACATCTTTGTGTCTCAAACATCTTTGTGTCCAAAATGATAAGTCTGGGCTCATATTTTGAGCAGCTTCTCGAGTTCGGTTCATTAACTGCTGCTCAATTTGAACCGGCGTTCGGAAGATCACAGATTTATTGTATTCTAGTGTCCTGTGCATATTACATACATGGTAGGAATGTAGGCCCTTCCTCGGGGGAGTTATCGGGACAATTAAGTATCCAGTGTTTGAGAAAGTGCAGTTGTGCAATGCTTCAAGTACTCCTGGAAGGCTCAGCTGCAATAATCTCCAATACCTGTTCCTCTAGGTCTGGAAACCAAGCACCTTTAGGATTGTCCACTACCTGTGGTCATTTCGGGACACTCGTCGAGTGTGTAGATCTTTGCTAGTGTAAGTTCTTACAGCTTCGGCTATGTTACGGTGGCATTTTCCCATAATTAATCGCTTATTCGCAAATTCGCTGTTGGCTTACATTTTGTGAAAGGATCTTCAAAATAACCCACAGTTTGACAAATGCTTGTTATTATTGACAAAGGCTGTCTACCTGTAACTATCTGTTAATGACAAAAATCATCATTGCCGCTTTGACTTTTCATCAAAAAATTTTAGAAGAGTACTTTTTAATATAAAAATTTTTCGTATTTGTGATAGGCTACCAATCAAACGTGGAATCTTTTCAAAATAATGCTTAATAACAAAGTTGAAACTCGATCTTCAATTGTTAATATCTTCTTGAAATTTTCGAAAAAAGTTTTTTTCATATTTTTCTCGTACTCTCATATAAACCTTATAAACCCTTAAAAGAAATGACGCCAATTTTGAGTCACCCTGTAGAGCTCATTTGATTGTCCTCGACTGTTGATAAGTACTGATAATAAGATTGACCAGTTTATAGTTCGTCAATAAAATAACCCGTCACTATTAACGTCACCTATTACCTTTCTTAATTTACACATAGAACGGCATCAACCCCAGCAATCTTAATGCAACAAAAACATTGTTGGTAGGTGCGAATGAAAAATATTGCATATATTTTAGCTTTCAACGAGAGTATTTTTAACTACAGTTTTTGAGTTGTATAAGTACTACTTCAGAAAAGCCTAGAGAAAAACGCCTACAATTTTATATCACCCTGTAGAATAGACAAACTGCATATCAAGGGGTTGTATAGATCGACTTAGCAAATCTACTCAAGCTGCTATCATCAGTTATCAATTTATATCAGGTTAATTGTTTTTCATATCATAACAAAACAATTATGCGGAGATGTTTCCAGTAATGCTTCAATAGGCCATTGTTTTCAATTATCAAGTAACATAACATTACATGAAAACATACATTTTTAGAATTAAGGAGCTTATAAGTACTAACTGCTTACTATGTAGGTACTTATTGATTTTAATTGCTTGCCATTGAACTAACATTATTTTACTGCAATTTGGATAATTAATTATAAGGTTTACAATTATTAATAGTTGACGCGAGACTTGAAATTTTCAAGGATTAAATTAT